CCATTTCCACCCGCTGTTGAATCATGTGTCACAGGGCCAGACGAGGGGAGGCACATACTGGTGTTTCAATCAACCATCTGTACATGTACATGTATGTTAATCTGCTGCCTGACTATCAACAGACATTTACATGCATTACTTCCATCACGGTAGTCTACATATGGATGGCAAGGCGGGCTTGGCTGCCATTCTTGGGTCTTTCACCGACCCTCTCAGCTAGATACAGGGTAACATGACAATCCGGTCCCTGGTCCACTGATTGTTTGGGTGCGTTGTGACAAGGCACCGGGGCCAGAACGCGACAGGGCCACAAGACGTCATTGACGCCCCACGACAGGTCTGTCTCCCTGTTGAATTACCTGAGATTGTCAATGGTGGTCACAGAACTCCCACACCCATCCGCCGAGATGCTCAGTGCGGTACCCGGTGCCCACCAGGCAACGCGATCGGCAACAACGTGGTCGCCTCGAATAGTATCCGCAACGTCATTTCACACGTTTGAACGAACCCCCCGAAGCTCTTGTTCCCAACCGGATCGAGCTGCATGCCACTACCATGAATGCCCTCTTCGCCTTCCTGACTGGGTATACCTACCCGCGTCTCTGATGGACGTACGCCTACATCATTTCTTGTCAGGTTCAAATCGATTCCCAATTCGTGATGGACTAGACAAGATCTTCGCCCCATCCGCCCTGCAAAAGTCTGGCCTGGGCTTGCCTGGCCCAAGCTAGGGTCATCATACCGCCCATCGTACTGCAGATGGTAGGTAAGTGGCGACAAGAGCGACAAGGGCGGGAAAAGAAAGCCGGGAGAAGCATCCACCGCTTCGAAAGTGTTGCTGGATTCCACTGAGTACTGCTGCCCCATCAAAGAGGTTGACTCTCCCAAAAAGGCAATTTCTGGGCGACGTCTATTCCTCCTACGGCTGACCCGGTCGATGCACGTTCGAACCGTTGGACATGGAAATATGCAGGGTCTTTCTTACAAAGCCTGCAGTACAAACCTGCCAAGTCGTCAGTTGGCAATTTCCGCTTCCCACGCCCCTTCGTTCTAGTCCAGCGGCGACCTCAGCGCTATCGATTCAGGCCTTGGGAGGATGTCCTTGACGTCGAGCCTAGAATAGAAGCCTGGTCGATCGCCCCCTCTCATTTCTGTGCCGTGGAAATGTCACTGCGGCTTCCAATTCACACCAGCAGATTTGCGGTATATCTCGACAGACTGGGCAAGAAGTGGCAAAGATGCCGATGCGGGTCCCCAAGCCCTGAACCAATGTTTCTGTTTGGGTTTATCCTCATTCAACCCGTTGTCCCGGCGGAGACCAATGGTCAGGGCAAGAGAGCAGGGGATGGTGTGATGGTAGGACGGATGAAGGTTTAGACCCCATCAAACAGCAACCTTATCCCCGCAAAGTTGCTATTTATTCTTCGTCGTCGATCCTGGGCCCCGGCCCCCCAAGCGTTCGTCCAGTTTTCATCCGCATCTCGACTCAGGCAGCGCAGAGGACAATGCAATTCGGAAATGATGTGCTCTTTGGGATCCTGGCAGTCAAGGTTGATCACCCTGACCTGGCGAACCACATTGACACCATCCATTGAGCTGGGAAGAGGAAGCGAGCTGTCCAAGGCGAGAGGGGGGGTGCAAGAGCAGCACCTGCTTTTCGACTCGACGATATTTGCACTCGGTGCGCACGTAGTGAGATCATCAAACCAACCATCCCACCCGCGTAACAGTGGACAAGAATGGCCCCCAATTATCAACTTGCATGCCGGCATCAGCCTTACACTCTCACGTCAGCCTGTAGGGCGACTACCACCGCGTTCTCTTGTGCGCACGAGATGGTCGCTCGGCCCCCGAATCCTGCCTCTTCAATCGCGTTCTTGGTGTGACTGGAAGAAGATCAAAGCACGGCGGCGTGCCTAAAGCTCCATGTCAAAATCCGCCGATCACCTGCAAATCGTTGACCCGCCAGCCCCTGGATTTGATCGCAATTTCCCTTCTGCACCTCACCTGCCAGATGTTTCAGCCCACGGCGAAGGGCCGGTGAGCTTTGGCCGCCCTTGGGGTTGGCCGGTGCACTACTCCTCAGCTCCCGTTGTTTCTTTGAATAGAAACAGGAGCCAGAACCTGGCAGCCTTGACAGGGACCCGAGGAGTGCATGTGCACGGCGCCGGCCTCGTGGGCGACGGCCTGATGGGCCCCTGAATCGGCCCTCCATCCGACCACAGTGGAGATTCAACGGATGCCGCCGCCGAGTCGCCTCAATGAGGTCTGGGAGACCCGAAGGAATGGCGCAAAATCATGCACCATGATTACACCACACTTCACGAAGACTGTAGATACTCCATGTCACGCTTCGTACCAGGGAGACCCTGGGCAATGGAAACGCTCTGTGGGAAGACTGGCATCTCATCTCTTGGTCAGGCACGGCCATCATCTATCGGCTAGACTCCGTAGCGACCTCTCTAGACCCAGCATAAGCTTGCATGTAGGGTGAATGGCAAGATCGATCTTTCCAGATTGAGTTATCAATCTGGATTAGCCATCGCCGTCGGCGACGAGCTTGTGGTCACCTTGCTCGCTTGCTATTTCTGGTAAAAAGGATTCGCAACAGACGAATCTCGCAGGTAACAAGGGCAATTACCACCCATAAACAGTCTGTGATCATCTAAGTTTCTGCAAAGGGTCTATATCTGTGTCTAGGGGTCTCCAGGAAATTAGAGCCATGCCAGATATTCCTTCGTCAAGAAATATAGTCCATCCGTCTCTGCATAGGGCCTGAGTCAATGAACGCACCACGGGGAATGGCTGTCAAACCCTGCCTACCATCGACGTTCAGCGAACGAGTTATCACTAACTTGGAAGCCTTTGCATATTCGGATGATGCTGGGACATCGACGAGGTACAGCAATGGCTTGTTGAGCTGTAACACGGTCGACCATGTGCGGAGGACAGTTTTTGAGCAGACCGATCTTCTCCACGTCATTAACGTGTCTTTTAATCTGGTCTGGTGAGAGTCGCGGTTATACTATGAATCTACCGCTGACACCCCCTCGAGGGCCCCTTTCAACACCATGCAGCGCTCTCACAAGAGCTGCCTGGCCTTCTTATAGCAGGGGTCGTGATCCTTCCGGCCCATCCCTCGTGCCTCGCCTAGCCGGTCCCCAACACCACAAAGTTCTGGCCGTTTTATCGCGTGATTTTAACCGTCCTAGGCGAACCGCAGCAGGGCAAAGGAAGAAGACAAGCGAGAATCTACCTGGCAAGTCCGTTTATCGCGACTCATGCGCCCCCCTCCCTCTCTCTTTCTTCCGCGCGCTACCTTGACACCCCTCCTTCACTTCTCTTGACACCGTATGCGGCGGCACAGGATAGGCTAGAAGAGATGCCCACCCACCCACCAAGACCGTAAAAAAGCCCTCCTCTGCCGAGTGTCTCCTTGAAGCCAACCGGAATCGGCTTCGTTGGCTGTGCTCCCGGCACTGTTCGTTCGTCAGGAGATGGGAAAAGCTGATAGGGAGGGGGCGTGCCTCGAGGAGGTGGGAGGGATCGCGTCTCTTCCTCCCGAAACCGTAGTACCTCTCCCCCCCTCGCGGACTGCATCTCTCTAGCGCGGAGTATCTTCGCGGAGCCAGCCAGCCAGCCAGCCAGCCAGTCCAGGTCTGAGGCGCCCCTCCCCCTTGCGAGGGCGCGCGCAGATGCAGACACGCACACACACACACACACACACACACACACACACACCCCTATTCTTCCCATCCCGTCTCCTGCCCTGCCCTGCCCTGCCCTGCCCAGCCCAGCCCAGCCCAGCCCAGCCCTCCGTCACCTCCCGTCCAGTCCTTTCGTCACTCTCCCCCTTTTCTTGGCGCGCGTTCGTTCGTTCGTTCGCTCTGCCGCTGCCCGACGGGGGCGTGGCCGTGGCGTCCCGGTCGAGAGCGGGGGCCGTGGGAGCTAGAGGAGGGGGGTGAAGGGGGCGTGGCAGGGCGTGGAAAAGGGAACAGCATAGCTCGCTGGGGCAAAAAAAGGACAAAACAACGAAAGCCAAGTCTTCCCTGGTCGGGGCGTGCCTCTCCCGTACGTCATTCGTCCCTGGTGAACGTCACTGCCAGCCCCGACCAGAGACGATCTGCTTCTTACGCCGGGTGGACGATCTGTTTCTGCTGCCGGGTGGACGAGGTGGTTGGTACTGGTGGTGATTCCTAGCACCATGTGCAAAAATAGGTAGATAATGACGAGTGAGGTGGATGGTCTGGGCTGGGGCATCAGGAAAGGGGGGGCGAGATCCTGCTTTTCCTGGTGGGTTACTTACTAGGAGGCGTCTGTCTTGCCTTGGATGGATTCCAGTTGTGGAACTGAGCATCGTTGCAGATGGGCGATGCGGTAAAGGAAACGAGAAAAAGCCACCAGACGACGGGGACCGGACACGAAAAGGGGCAACTGGAAGACGGCGACGGACATCACACGAACAAGTGTACGGGGTGAACCAGAAAATGAAAAAGGATAGGCTTATACCAGATGGAAGAAGAACAAAGCGCCGAACGCTCTCGCGATGTGTCCATTTCCCTCCGCTCTGGCTACCTACCTAGAAATGCCCAGCCGATGTTTCCCATCCTTCCGCGCCTTTCCTTTACGCTTTTCGAATCCAACCGTGTCGCAACGAGACGCAGGCAGGCGAGCAGCAGAACCAAAACCAAGGGGGAGAAAAAGACAAAAGCAAGCAGATCAAAAAATGCTGTGGATGGTATCGTAGACGCAACAGATGCAGCAAAAGAAGAAGAAGAAGAAAAAGAGAAAGAGAGCACAAGATCGTCGTACACCCCAGGCCCAGATCCAGATTCAAGTTCAGGGTCGTCGACGACCCGAATCTTTGCCCTGTCTGTCCATGCTAACCCGCAACCCTCAAGATTGTGGACCCTATTACATCCTCCACCATGTGTTCCCCGTGGGGACGAAGGGCTCGTCTTCACCTGTGAGCCATACCGCAACGAAGGCGAACCCCCAATTTATAGTCGTCCGTGGCGCGCTTTGAAGATGGCAACCTTGTCGTCGTAGAATAGGATTTCACGCAGGCGCAGGCGCGGCCTGGCCCCGACGTGGTCCGCCTCACGGAACGAGTCTGCGTCGGAGTCGCTGGAGCCAAGCGACGCCTCGGACTGCGAGTCATCAACATCAACCGCGCTCGCTGCGTCGTTGGCGTTGCCTGCACCACCACCGCCAGGCCCATCCTCGTTCTCGTCTTCTGATGTGTCGACCTGGCTCGCATCCTCGTCATCGTCGCTCGCGTCCTCTTCGTCGTCGTCGGCGGCCTCGTCGCCACCTGAACCGTGCTGGCCTGGGACGACGTGGCCGCTACCAGGCGCGCCTGCTTCAGCCGTGGGGTCCGTGGTGGCGACGCCGTGCGTGGACGAATCGAGGGGTTTATTCTCGAGAATCTCAAAGCACTTCTTGCCAATGCCAACGTAGCAGAGCTGGATCTCTGGGCGCAGCGAGATGATGTCCACGATCTGCAGGGCGAGCTCCCGGGGGTCGTAGTTGCCCGCTGCGTGGTCTGCTATTTTTGGAATGTGCAGGGAGCGCAACTGGGGCAGACCGATGAGGCGTTGGAGGAGCGTGTGCTATTTTTGTGTGAGCAAGCAGTTTCATCCAAAGTTTAAAAAGGGAGGGGGGGGGGGGGGGGGGCGTTAAACCGCCCGAAGAATAGCCCAACGTACCCAGTCGCGATACTGCAGAGACATGGACAGCTCTCTCAGGCTGACCATGCGTCCGCTCGTCATGTAAAGGAGCATCTCTGTGGTGGCGGTCCAGTTGAGCCATCGGAAACTCTCAGGCAGGTTGCCGTGGGGGGCCTTGTATTCAGAGCTGTCGAGGAGGACCTTGCGAAGACTAGAGCGGTGGCGTTTGATGGCGCCCTTGAAGATTTGCGAGATGGTCACAGCCGGAGGTACAGACCGCCGCCTGTCTTGGAGGAAAAATACTTCAAGACTGTTCGGTTCCAGGGTATCTTTGATAAAGTTGATGAGAGGCAGTGATGCCATGTCCGTGTGGATCTTTTTTACGTTGAGATGGTATTGTACTCGAGTCACCGGCGAGGGCTTGGGAGAGCTGCCATTTTCGTGACCTGACGTCACTGGAGGCGTCGGTTGGAATTGCTTGCGGAGGACCTTCCACAGGGTCTCGTGTTGAGCGCACTCCAAAATGGTCAAGCTCGTGAGGACAGTCCAGTCGATTGCCTTTGTACAGACCTGGATCGATAGGGGCACGCGCTCCAATTCCAGTGTTTTGAGCTTCAGCTTGCCGTCGAGTCGTTTTCGTATTGTCTGGTCGTCATTCGACCGTTGTAGCTGCTCACGATGCGGTGCTGTAGAGGTCCGGGGTCCATGCTCCGTCGTCGAGGCTGTTCCAGGAACGTGGTCAACAGTCGAAGGGCTCGAAAGGTTCATGTCCGCTGCTTCGTCGGCGGCGGACACGGGGCTCGGTTCGTCACCACCCTGGACAGCGACATCTTGGTGATGGCCAGTGGGCGCGGCATCATCGCCAACGACTGTAGCAGCGTCGGGCACGGGCGCAACAGCTTCGACACTGGCCGGTGCGAGGGCGCTTTTGGCCCTGGATTTGGATGCAGACTTTCTGCGAATGTCGTAGATCTTGCCTACCAGCACCCCCAGGACACCGCCCAACCTGCGATCGCCGATTGTGCTCTCGCCAGGCCAGCGCGCATTGTGGTCGACCTGGTGCAAGCCCGGCCCATCCCATGTCTGGACAAAGTCGGAGTGTGCCGCCTTGGCGGAGATGCCCACGCGCAGCTCCTCCAGATTCTCGTGCGAGTTACCGATGGCAACAGCGAGCTCGTCGAGATAGGAGAGCTCATCAATGTCGAGGACAGACAGACTCTTCAACGGCGGCAGGACACTGAACGTCGGAAACTCGACACGGCTTTCGGCGAAAGGGATAGGCGCCCTGGGCCGAGGATGTGATGCCGTCGACGGAATGAGAATGCCGATAGGCGTCAAGGTACTGCCGATGGGCACGACGCCCTGTGTCTCTATGGACGAGCTGGGGCTGGTCGAGGACGAGGCGGCCGAGGCATCGGCGTTGTCGTGCCAGCGCACCCAGACGCGCTCGAGTTTGGACTGCTCATTCGGATCGCGATCCTGGATGGAGGCCAAGGCCATGAAGATGTCGGAGAGGACGCCGGTGGGCATGTCCCAGACAAAGGTCTCGAGGCTTGCCATCTTGGCGACGGCCAGGGCGACGAGGGTTCCCAGCATCTTGCCGCTCTCCTTGGTAATCATGTACTCGGCGACCCAGTCGTCGGGGCCATTGCCCAAGGAGAACTTTTTGATGTATCGAGCGTAGTCGTTGTGCAGGCGTGCCATGGGAGGCAGTCCGCCGCTGCGGTTCGGCGAGAACATCTTCTGGGCGCGCACGGCAAAGTTGCTGCCCAGACAGAGGGTTGACAAGCCATAGGTGAGGGCATCAACGCTTTTGGAATCAGATTGGGCAAGCTGGGTGGCGTCAGGCCACACGATATCGAAGCGAGAGTAGATGTGTGGAACGGCGAGATTGTGGAGGGTCGAATTCGTCAAGGCGAGGGAGGTCAGATCGTTTGTATGTGTGATCTGGGCGAACGAATGAGAAGCGTCAGCAAACACGGCGCTGCATGGTGCATTGGGAAAGACGGGGTTCTTCTGGGAAAAGGGAAGGAGACGAGTTTCTTCTGGAAAAGGCAACGAGACGGGTTTCTTCTGGAAAAGGCAACGAGACGGGTTTCTTCTGGAAAAGGCAAGGAGACGGGTTTCTTCTGGGGAAAAGGGAAGGAGAAGGATAGAGCATGGGGAAGGGGGACGGGCAAGCGACATACCTCGTTGACAATCAGCCGCAAGATGTCAAAGGGCAGCTCGAGCAGGGTCAATCGACCGGTGCGCCTCGAGACGGCACTCCATTCCTCCTCTTTGCCTTTGAGCAGCTTGCGCAGGGCCATGGCGGCTTCTTCTGTGGGATTTGGCGGGAGCTGGCCGTCGGCCTGGGAGGGTGGGCGTTGCTCGTCGGGTGCCGTTGGTGGTACGACATCGGTCGCGTGTAACAGTGATGACGGGTCGTGGGCCGGGGGCTGATCGGGACACTGGGAAGACGTCGCCGTGGCCATCATGGGTGGACGGGAGCTCATGCTCTTGGGTCAATTGCGGAGGGTAGTATGGATCGGGACTTTGGTCGAAGGGGGAGAGGTCCCCAGGAGAGAAGAAGTTTGGTGATGCTGAGAGTGAAGGTCTCGTCGTCGTTCGGGGGGAAGGGTATACGGCGGCGACGGGGCGGGAATGAACGATGAACCAGAATACGTGATACAGAAGAAGAAAGGCTGTGGTTGTGATTGTAGGTTGAATGTTCTTGTCCGTCCGACGCGGGCTGGAAAGGGCGAGGATCAAGCAGGCGATGATTGGGACTCGCAGGTTCAGGTCGAAACCTAAGGTACCTTACCTAGGTCAGGTAGGTAGGCAAGAGAGAGAGGGTTCAAGCTCGTGTTCGCGGTTGTGCTCGTGCTCGTGCTCGTGCTGGCGACGGGCGAACCTTGTGGCTGGGGAGACAGGGCGTTCGGTTTGGTGGTGCTTCTCGAAATGGACGTTCAGTCACCTCAGGTTGAGATGGGTTGGGGTCAGGGAGCCCGGTCCCGTCATCGGCGTGCCTTGTCTCGCAAGGGTGCGCGGTGCGTGGTGCTTGGTGCTTGATGCTTGAAGGTGCTTGGTGCTTGGAGGTGCTTGGTGCTTGGAGGTGCTTGGTGCTTGGTGGTGCTTCCGGCCAGTGTGCACAGCGTGCAACATGCGGCGTGCAGCGTGCAGTTGCAGTTGCGGTGCTGTTGCTCTTGCTGTTGCTGTTGAGGCTGCGACGGGGCCAGCAGAAGGCGCATCCAGACTCCAGAAGCGTCCAGGCAGTTGCGGTGGGCCACGGTGGGTCCACCCAAGGCCGGCACACCGAGACACTAAGGCGGCCAGGGGACCTGCCTTGCCTGCCTCCCAGGTAGGGGTGCTACGCTGGGGTGCCACATCACACCCTATCATTGGGTGCTGGGGGGTCAAGGGGACTCGTGCCAGGCCGTCTCCGGACGTCCCGCTTCTGCTGGCACGGGCTGGCACGGGCTCACATGGGGGGGGGGGGGCGGATGCCACTCCACCCCAAGAGCGTATTCAGGGGGGGGGTTCAGCTTCCAAAGTGCCTTTCTTCAGCTGGAACCAGCACGATGGGGGTGAGACTGCCGAGCAGCGTGTGCCTTGGACTGACTCGACGACTACACAGGTACCGGTCTGCTGGTTCGATTTTCCGACCTCCTTTGTCTGCCCATTATCGAGATGCTCATCGCAGGAATGGATGTAACCATGGCACGAGAGAGCATGTGCCTACAGTCCTACCTTGCTAAGTATAGCCCGACAGTACCAGCCTAGGGAGGTAGGTAAGGCAGATACCTAAGGTACCTAGGTAAGGCAGATACCTAAGGTAGGGTAAGTAGGCGCCTGTGGAAAGAAGACAGGTACCCACCGACCGCTCCCGTCGTCCCCAGCGTCCAGTGCCCCAGCACCCCACCCCCTGGAATGGGCGCTGTGACATGTCTCTTCAACGCGAGGTGCTGGCTGGAGAGCAGCCGTGGATAGGTAAGGTACCCAGACGATGAAGTGACAGACAGCCTTCAACAGGACCCCATGATCATCACTCAATCTGAAGCTCCCCACATCGGCTCTCGCGCCCAGCTGGCCCTCCAGGACCTGGTGAGAGTAAGCCGGCGCAAGCCTCATCTTCAGAGTTCAATGTCCGTTTCAGGATCGACAGCCAAGTCGCGACGCAGCCAAGTGCCGTGCTCAGATGAACCCGATCAGCGAATACTGCCAAGGACATGTGACTGAATGATGGCCTCCATGAAGACGGATTTTTTTGCCCACTGGACATGCCATGGGCATGCACCATTTGAGTAGAGCACATAGCAAGAATAGAGTCGCAAAGGTCGCAAAGCGATCTAGGCACCTTGCCTCTGGGGTCCTCGCATCAAAGTTGAACCCACCGAGGCCTGCATCGGGCCGGCGCCATGCCCGTGAGTGACTCCCCCGTCATCACAGCGGTACGTACCCGCCCTACACGCAGCGTGCACCGGGCAGGCGTGCATCATCAGGTGCCAGGCGACGACCAGCCCCTCCATCTCTGCCTCCTCCGCCTCTGATGCCTCAATCGCACCCATCACGACTCTGAACACACAAACTGTCCTCCACGTCATCGTCAGTCAAATCGACCTGCTGGCCTGTTCTCAACTGAGCCAAGCTTGACTCCCCACGCCGTCTCGTCACCAGCTCGAACCACGTTGCTGTCGCCCCCGATCCACCCATATATACCTTGGGCAGCAAAAACCAGGCAGCCTCGCGCCTAGCATCGCATCGCATCGCATCACACTTGCATCTCTCGCGCACGACAACCTCAGCCCCTCTTCTCCCTTTGGCGGATCTCCCGCAGCCCTCCGATAAAGCGAGCCACGAAGGACCCCCCCTACACAACACCGTTCGACGGAAACGTTTACACCACATCAGCACGCAGCGACCACCTTGTCCCGCCGACAAACGCCCCCGCCGACAAACGCCCCCGCCGACAAACGCCCCCGCCGACCTCCTCGCTTCCCGACAGACCCGACCTCCTCGTCGCCTTTGTCGCCCTGTCGCTCAACATCCCACGCCCCACGCCGCCCATCATGGCCTCCTTCGCCGAGAACCTCTGGAACTCAGTCTTCACCCCGGGCACAACACCAACCCTCCTGTACGCCACAAACGCCAGCTTCGCCGCCCTCCAGCTGACCCTCCTCGCCCTCCTTGCCGCCACCCGCTCCATCCACTTCATCGTCCTCTCCTTCCTCTGCGCCGGCCTCTGGCGCGCCATCAACTGGTTCGCCGCCGAGCTGGCCATCGCCCAGGCCCGCGAGGCCGCCGACAACGACAGGGCCGCCGCGCCCGGAGGACCAGCCGATACCCCGGGCGGCGGCGGCGGCAGCAGCAGCAGCAGCGACGACGACACTGAGGTCGACACAGCCGTCGACCAGGCCGTGCGCTCGCGCAAGACGGCCGGCAGCGCGAGCAGGGAGGTCGAGGTCGAGGGGTCTGCGGCCGGCGAGCTGAAGCAGCGATCCGCTGCCGCTGCCGCTGCCGCTTCCGGGCCGGCATCGGCGGCGGGGACACAGTCGAGCGCGAGCACCGAGGACGAGTGGGAGAAGGTTTCGGAGAATGAGAACGAAAAGGATAAATAGATCCGACGCTTGTGGTCGAGAGAGAGAGGGAATGATGCACGCATGGCGTCTTCCTCTCGTTCTCTCCACGGCAGTGGTGCTTTCTGTTTCCCCCCGTTGCGCAGCGCCTCGCCTTTTCGAGATACCCCCAGCCTAGACACCCTCTGACGTCAGGACGCTTCAACATGCGGCGATGCGCGCTCCTCTTTCTCCTTCCTTTTCTGATTTACATGTTCCATGGTGGAGGCGGGAGCATTTGTTTTTATTTCAGTGACCGCGACGAGAGTGTTTGGCGCTACGACTTTTGGGAGGTAGAGAGGGAGAGAGAGAGAGAGACGGCAGGAAGCGGGCTACAGTACATATCGATATCAAGTCCACTCGTTTAGCGAGACAATGTCAAGGATTTATGCCTTAGAAATTCCATCCATGTTGCTTGCTTGGTCTTCTTTCCCGAGATCTATCCAGCGACTCCCAACTCCGTATATAGGTAGGTACAAGATTGTGGCATGCACACGGTCCCGTCCGTGCATAACCAGTGCTCAAATTTCTAGTACATGTCACTCCATCTCACTTGACGTCTGTCCCAAAATGCATCTACTTCACAGATATCGCAACCTCGACGTGGCGTATGCGGCGCCGAGCGCAGAGATGGCGCCGATGAAGAGACATACGGCAATGGCGTTGGGCCCGTCAGTGTCATGATGCTCAGCGGGATCGGCCCCCTTGGCAAGCTCAGGGCTCTTGCCGGGCTCGAGGATCGTAAAGACGATGGTGCTGATGAAGGTACCAATAAACTGCGGCAACGTTGAGTAAATGTTGAGGATACCGAAATAGATGCCCGACAGTTCGCCCGTTGACGATGAGGCGCCGGGCGTGTCAGACCCGTGCTCCAGATGCAGAGCGTGGTCTGCGCTGATGGCTGGCAGCTCAATGTCATCGGCGTTGGACAGGCGGCGGTAGGCTGGGCCGCCAGCCTCGGTGGCGCCGCTGAGCTTGTTGACCTCGACGCCGAGAAAGGTGACGGGCGCCCACATGGCAATGGTCCAAGGGAGTCCGCAGATGACGACGAGGAAAGTGGCAAATCGGAAACTGGCGGCGAAGGGAGCCATGAACATGGCGCTCGCAAACATGAGGTGGCCGGCCATCCAGACGGTCATGAGGTCGGGCTTGCGCTTGCTGAACTTTTCTGCGAGGGTAGCCAGCCCTTGGGGCGGGCGGGCCGTGTACTTCTCGTCGTCTGGTGACTTTGTGATCATGGGCAGGAGCCAGGCGCCAATGAGGGTAACGGTGGAGTAGATGACGAGGGCGGTACTGCCGATGCGACCGACATCGCCGAGCATGTCTTTGGAGTTCTTTGCCTCCTCGGGCGCATCGTAGCGGAAATACGTCTCGCCGACCCAGGTCGCGCTGTAGAAGAGAAAGGGGAACCAGCCAATCCACGCCCAGAACTGTGCCCAGCAGATGGCCTGGATACGTGGGGGCAGGTTGAGCAGCGTGGACCAGATCTGGCTGAAGACCTTGAAACGGCCGACAGGCTTGCGAGAGTCTGGTCGGGTTGAGATGAGCACCCTCTCGGTGACGGCCCAGCAGGACACGCCCGAGGAGAAGAGTATGAAGAAGGTGGCGATCAGGGTCAGTTGCTTAAACTGCGTGTCTCCAAGCGTCGTCCCCAACATACCTACGAGGTCGATGGCGCCCGCTCCATACCCCATCATGTGGCCCATGGCGGACATTCTGCTGGCTGCGTCGAGTTAGCTACGAGGCCAGGAGCTATATTTGACTTTGGAGGGGCTGGGGATCACTTACACCATGCCGCACCGGCTTGTTGTTTCTCGATGGGTAAAGTGTCGACGATCAGGCTCCTGGCGCAGGACATGACTGGGCAACTGGTCAGTTCATGCTGTCCTCGGGATGCAATGGGGTCAACTCACCGGCATTGATAGCAAAGTCGACGGCATAGATTGCCAGGACGGCAAGCGTTATCGTGAAGCCGCGGGCAGACTTCTCGTCAGCAACGAAAAAGCCCACAATTTCCTGGGTAAAGCCCAGAACGATCATGCTCAAGGCGGCAATCATCGAGCCCATGACGATGAAAGGACGTCGGCGACCCCATTTTGAGGTGGACTGATCAGCAATGACGCCAACAATAGGCTGAACAATGAGTCCCGACAGAGGCCCAGCAATCCACACCAGCGAAGTATTGCTCTTGGTGAGGCCAAGGTTCAGGAGATATGGTGTGCAATCTGGATTCGCAGGGTCAACATGTGATCTACTGAAAAAGAGGCGCCAGGTTCGCGCGATGCTTGCTACTCACAGGTCATCTCCACTCCCCATGTGAAGCTGTGGATGACGGGTCAATGCTAGCTGTGGCCACGGCACGCGACCTGGGTTCCACCTACGTGATGCCGATGGCGTTGAAGGTCAGGAGAACCATGCGCATCGCCTCGGAGCTCCCCTTGATATGGGGCTGCCCCGCCCATGTCGACATTTCTGCGAATCCCTCCTCGCGTATCGATCGATTGATTGTCGGCGCCCCGTCGATGACCTCGCCGGCGTGCCGGTCAATGTCGCGGTTGCGGTCGCGGTTGCGGTCGCGGTCGAATTCGAGGTTGAGGCTGGATGGGCGGCGCGTGGGTCCCACGTATCCACCAGGATTGCTAGTCGCAGGTGATGGGTGCCAGTCGTCAGCAAAGTCCGGATTCGAATCGGTGTCGGGTTGGCCGTTGCTCGACTGCGACGGGGTGAGGATGGGCGTCGAATGTCCTCCCGAGTCGACACGGAGGCAATGAGCGTCACGGGAATCTGCGTCTCGGGCGACTGTAGGAATCAGAGTTGAGTTTGAGGTCGAGGCTCGCGTCGGAAACGCAGCAGCCATGGCGGGAGGGTGGAGCTCCCGCAGCTGCCAGTTCAGGTGTCCGTGCCGTAATTCTTTCAGGAGCGCTTCACATCTAGCAAAGCACCCATGACGCGGCCGAATCAACCAATCTCCCGGTCTTGTTCGCGTTGGACAATTGCGTGACAAACGAGTTGCAGGTGAAAGCCGACATTGGTTCGAAAGAACACGGGTCGAGGAAGCGAAAACGTTATTGGACGCTGTACATAGTAGTGTATCCTATGTAGCTGTTGTACGGGATACTATAGGGGGGGAGATTGGGGTCCGTCCTTGACTTTGAGGTCTTGGTAGCCACGCACCAAGGTTTGGCGGTATGCTACAGTCAGGTAACATAGGTACCTACCTACCTAGGTACCTACCTAGTTGGGGAGGGGTTGAGGCGGGCCCAGATGAAGGTCCTATTGTCTTTGGAAGGGGGA